TAAATTAAAACATTTACTATACTGCTGTCCAAACTGAAAATGCATTTCTATTGATTGATTTTAAATTTGAACCACAATAAAAGAGCGCTAATGTCACTTTAGGCGTAAATACACATAAGATTGGAAAAGTTACCAAAAGGATGGTCAAAATAATGAAAGTAATATGTGCATATATGCTCTATAGAGCCATATACCAGCAGGTGGTGCAGAGCTATAATTATTTTTTTTTGGTTCCGTCTTCCGCTGCGTGTATCGTGATTTTGTTTATGTTTAGAAATTTAAGGGCCGGTTTATCAATGTCCAACTAAAAGTGGCGGTTAAGTATCTTACAGTTACCTTTATCTGACAGTTATCCGAATAGAAGTGTTTTTCTTCACCTCGTACGGTTCCAGTTTCTTATCTGCCAGTTTAGCAATACGGCAATTGGGCAACACTGTCAAGATACATACATTTTAATTGGTTAAATTTAAATTTATGGCATGCGCATAAAACACATTACCTCAAACGACTTATTTTGTGTAAATTTTTATGTTTCTTTATTATTTTATAGGTGTAGATATGGGTATGTTTTTAAATAAAAATACGTACATAAATATCTTTTATTAGAGATGGGAAAATTCCCATTTGACGAAAATTCCCGGAAACTTTCCATCGAAAATTCCCGAAAGTTTCCGAAAGTTTTTATTGCGAAAATATTTTTTTTTATGCCAGGGATTTGCAAAAATATATAACAAATTAACTTTTTGTCAAATTTTATTAAGAAAAAAAATAAAAAAAATGTTTATAAGAATGTAACTGCAATACTATTTTTAGTATCTTTTACTTTGGAATATTCCTATTGTATACTGAAACCTACAAAATAAAAATAAAATGTTTACTATTAGAAATTCACTGCTAGTAAATCCTAGATATTATGTAAAAAAAATTAAAAGGGACAAAGTAACTAATATATATATATATAGGAATATTGAAAAGTAAAAAGTTAAGTAAAAAAATAATTCCAAACACTAGATTTTTTTCTTGGCATTGTGCTATGCCTATAAATAAACAACAAAAATGTAAGAATGATTTTAACTTTGTTTATTGTTTTTATTTTGTTTACCTTTTTTAAAAAAAGTTTTTTGTGATGCTGAATAATCCGGCTTCATTGAGGTTATGTAACATAACTTACATTGTTTATACTTCTTCTTCTGCTTTAAATTAACACACATTAAATTCTTATTCAAAGTTTCTTGGCCTTGTATCATGGCCTTAACGAAAATCAGCGGTTAAACAATTGACATTTAAATGAAAAAAACAAGGAAAGTTTCCAAGGAATGTTTCCAAGGAATGTTTCCGGTAGCTTAAAAGAAACTTTCAAAATGAAAATAAATTCCCAACTGGAAACTTTCCAAAACGGAAAGTTTCCTTAAAATGGAAACTTTCCGATTCCCATCTCTATCTTTTATACAATTTATTATCTTTTATGTTTTGTACCACACATTAATTTAAATATATCGCATTTTTAAAATAAATTTACCAAAAAAAATCTATCGGTTCAAATTGTTCTCTTGACACGTGGACAAATACGAAGAAATTGTACGTACATATCCGTAAACGTTTCCATTTCCTCCTCTATTTTTGCTTCTGCAGCGGATATCTAAAAAAACCGTCATAATTTTGAAAATGTTCTTCCCGTTCTAAAACTGTATAAGTCTTCTCTCGTGTCAACAATTTGTTCATCGCCGTGACTTTAAAAAAAATCTCCAATATTCATTTCAAAAACAACACTAGACAAACACAAATATAACCTATAAACCGCGATAACTGGTAGTTAATTTACTATCTGACACTTGCAGCTTCCAGTTAAATTTACTTCCAGTTATCTTAATTTAAGTTCTTAGTAAACCACTTTAATTTTATTTACCAGTTAAGACACTAATCTGGACATTGATAAAGTGTATTAAGAATAATATATGCCAAGAACAAACTGAGTTATTAAAAGGAAAAAACTAAGCATAAAAAAAAAGAAGTGATGGTAATAGAATATGGACGAATAGATTGATAAAAAAATAAAGTAAGTGTGGAAAAGAAAATTAAAGAGAGTAATAAAAATGTGCAAGAAAAAAAACATCTTCGAATTATGCACAAGAAATCTTCTAAGGTCAAATATTAAGTCCCTAATTTACACCAGATTTCGTTCTCTCAGCGTTGCCGCATCTACTAGATGAGAGAATGACAGATAGATACAGTCTAACCCAAGATAACCTATAGAGATAGGATGTTCTTGGCCATGTACAAATATTCTCCGAGTTGTGGGCGTGGTTTAAGCACACTCGATATTTGAGTGACCAATCACAATTCGTTTAATTTGGTCTTTGTGGTAAACGGAACACAGCAATTGGAAAGAAAATATTACGTCATAAGAGAGCACTAGAACCAGAACCGGGATAACATATGGCACGCTTTTTAAACGCTTTTTAAGTTTTTAATATTATAAAAATATGTTGTAAATATTAACAAAAATGTATTCGCAACCTCTACCAACAGCTAAGATGTCTTATTGTGACGTCATAAGATATGCCTTAATCAAATGCATGGAGTAAGATTGTCTGATTGGTTTTCGAGAACAAAATATTAAATATGCTAAAATTACATGGGTTGTATTATCTATAGGTACCTACCTAATAGATCATGATCTATTAGGTAGGTACCTATAGATAATTTTCGTTCTTGAAAACCAATCAGACAATCTTACTAAAGCTTTGTAAATCTCTAATTGGTGGACTACCTAGAATTGATTCAACATTTTCCTACATTGAAAATCTTACATCAACTTTTGAGTTTAAAGAATATGTATTATACATGGGTGAATCTCACGAAATGTCCCCCGATGGTGTTACCCCGTGATATTTAATAAAACTAAATTAGTTTGACCTACACTTTTATTGTGTTTTGATCTTTCATAATTAAGTAGATATTACAGCTCAGGTTCCAGATTTTTAACCGCAATTAATTATTTTTAACAACGTTTTAAAAGTCTAAAACCTATCCTCCGTGACTGTTACTCTTTCTAGGTTAACCTCTATGTATCTGAGGTAGTAAAAGCATACTAAACATATTAGTTCACTATACTTATAAGTAATTAAACACATCATCGAAGCAATCGAATCAAATATAAAATATTATTAAAAATTAAAAAAATAATTTTTATAACCATTTATTTAGGTGTTACAAAAATTGATTATATCATCCGTGAATTTGTTTTTGCTTTAAATTTTATGCAACGGATGGCGCTTTAATCATTTTAAATTTTTACGACATTATAGATGCATATTTATAGATGCATGTGATTACTGAAGGTGAGTTAGAATTTATATGCAGATGAGAGTGTTGCTGTTTTATAATTCAAAAGTTTAAGTTCATTAATTTGCTATTTTAAAACCTATCCACCTTGAAGTGTAATATCTCAGTAAGTAGAATTTTTTTATAAATATTTTATGTATGTACAATTGTATTTTTAAAAAATATTAAGATGTCAAAAGATACAATAACTTATTTCAAATATACAAAGGTATGTTTTAAAAAAGCATACGAAATCCTAACCTCCGTGAAGCTCTAATATTCAAAATGTATGATTTCTTAAAATTCTTGCATTAGTGCAGAACCACTTATGTTATGTTATTACTAGACCAAATCCCATATGTATTTCAATTTTGTAAAAAAAAATAATCAATTTTTTTTTACTTTTTGGGTGTTTATGATGTTGTCCGCCAAGAAAGTTTTATTGCTAGAATGCCACGTGAGGGATAGGGGGTCTACCACATCTCACCAAATCTCACCAATGGGTCAAAATTATCAAAAAAATACCTTACGTAATTAATGGATGTCCCTAATAATAAAATGAAGTATGGGCATATAAGTAAAAAAATATAATTTATGTATTATTAATTGAAGTATTAAGTAAGTATTTTTAATTAAAATTTGAATTCAAAAACAAACTTTGGTATACCATAATAATATACATTATAATGTGTATGATAAAAATAACATTACATTAAATGATATCAATACATATTTAATATTTTTTTGTAAATATTGTTCTTTAATTATTGTTTTGATTAATGTTTATCTAAAATGCCATAGAGCAGTGTACGTTTATTTTATTAGTTTATCATTTAATTATAGTTGTAGTAAATATTTCCGGCTACATTCAATTCAATTATATTTTATAAAAAATAAATTTTATGAATTAAAAAATTAACACATTTTAAAATACCAATTAGCGTTAATGAAGAAAATATTTGTTACATAATTTTTTTTTATCAAACTCAATCATGATTAATTGTATTTTATTAAATTTACCAGAGGAAACCTACTTAAATTATTAATCCACAACCCTTTTGCCCTACTTTCTAAACTTAATTAATAAAAGCAATCTACTGAAGGGATATGTACATAAATATACCTCGTCAAATTTTATAACAAATCTAATCAAATCTATTAAGAACATGGCCATCTGGCAAGTAATAACAAATTATGCCGTTATTAGAAATTAGTAGGCCGAAATTTATTTTTTAATTCTTTTTATTAAACAACTTCGTATGGATACAACGAGTATATTTTTCCAAAAAGAATGTTTGAAATGAATCGAAACGTATTTTTTTATCTAAATAAATTCCAGGTTTGTTTAAAATATCGCTAATATTTAAAGTTTGTTGTTTGGGAATTTACATAAAACTAATTATGTGTAGATAATAATGTGAGGTCAAAGAGTCATCCATATTTAAGTGGAAATCCACAGTCGTCAATGTCCAAAAATAATGCTCGAAATCTAACGGAAAGTATTTTTTATCTAAATAAATTCCACTTTTGTTTAAAATATCGCTAATATTCAAAGTTTGTTATTTGGGAATTTACATAAAACTAAATATGTGTCGATAAAAATGGAAGGTCAAAGAAACATCCATATTTAAGTTGAAATCCACAGGCCAAACTCATTCAGAATTATTTCTTCCAATATGAAGCAAGTGTTATTTTGTTGTGTGTTGGCTGTGACCCTTTACTGGGTAAGATATACATTTTTAAAATTTATTTTTAACGGCAAATGATCAAATAATATTTAACAAATAGTATATTTGAGTGCCTCTTTCTCTTCATTAATATGATGTCATCAAATCAATATAAAATATGTTTTTCTACTCCCACCTTTAAAACGCCCTTTATCGTACATGTTTCCATGACACTAAGTGACCTTTTAAATACATATTGACAAGTTGTGGCTTTACAGCGCTTTAGTCACGGGCTGAAGTTAGTTTTAAGTTAGTTGACAGTTGTCAAATGTCATACAATCGTTAAAATAAAGTGCATTTCTTGTAAAATAATACTAAATGTGAAAATTATTTTATTATCTCAATACAAAAGTATTAAATAGTTTCTCAACACCAATATTCGAAAGGTTTATAATATAATATTATGAACATTGTACTAACCTTTTAATTTCGCGGGCAGTAAACTATAACTTAAATTCGGGCACGGACTCTACTGTAAAGTCCTCATAAAACATTTCCTTTACTTTCACTGTGAAAAACTGTCAATTTTCAAGATACATTTCGATTTATAACCTTTATAATTGTGTTTATAAAATGTAAAAATGTGACATTTGACAGTTTCCCCTGTTGTTTCATAGATGGCGCTCTATAAAATTTTTGATTTAAATCATTTTAAGATAATAATAAGTATTTGTCGACTATAATTACACAAGAGCTTATTTTTAGCCGGATAAATTTTTGTTTTCCTTAAAAGCTTGTTACCTAGCAATTTGACAAGAAAAAATGTCATCAATCAAAATTGCGAGACCGTAGGTCGAGCGATTTTGTCAGATGACATTTTTTCGAGTCAAATTGCTAAAAGGTAACAAGTTTGAAAGAGAAAACATAAATTTATCCTGCCAGAAAAAAAGCTCGAGTGTAATTCGACGAGATAATTTTGTGATTAATTTTTTTCATATTGCATGCCCAATCAAGCAAAATATTTGCTAAATGTGATATTGAGTCGAGTAGTTTGTAATTCCTCGCATTACAAAATGCCATATATTGTCGCCAAATTGACGCTTTATTATTAAAGAATTATTTGGGATACTTTTTACAATTTGTTCTTTATTGTTTTTCGCCGGAAACGACACCAAAACAATTTATTTTAAAAGATTTTTTGACACCTGCTATTAAAAAATAATTATTTGCAAGGTTGTCAAGGAAATTAAATGACACGAGGTAAATAAATAATTATCCACTTGCAAAAGTTACCTTCCTTTTTATCCGTTATCAAAGAGTCTTAAATGCCATTCAACTACGACGTTTTCATGTAAGAAACAAATTATCGTAGAAAAAGTATAGTATGCACCTCGTTTATAAACTCATTAACTTAAGCACTCGCTCGCAAGCTTGCTCGTGCCTAAATTAAATTCGTGTATAAAATGGCGTTTATTAAACTTGATACATAATATACTATTTGGATAAAATAATTTTATCGAATTTATGCTAAATTATAAAAAAAAACATACATACAGGTAGGAAACTGTTTTGGATGTGGTTACTAAAAAATCCCGTAAATTGGGGACAGCTTTGATATTTTAGAAGTTAGCACTTTTGTGTTTTAGTACTGATTCCCAAACTCATATTTAGCATAGGTACATGTACTGTTTGGCTACTATAGTAGCCAAACAGTACATGTATACTGCTTGGCTGGAAAGTAGTTATTTTTGTTTGTCATTCTTTTCTAGTAATTTTAAGTTTGTACGTTGGCACTCCAAAAACACTACATGAGTAGAAGACATATTTAAATATAACGTTTTTGTATATGAAAAAATTCTGGTTTACTGTTGTACCGGAGCAGATTTAAAACGCTTCTTAACGTTATTTGACTCACTGAATCTGAATCTTTTATTCGTTTGGCAATGTTGGTTCTACTTTTTAAGTTGTCAAATCCCGGATTTTAAGCAAATTATCGGCAATTTGTTGCAAAATTTTCTGTTCCCATCTTGATGTCTCTAAAAACTTGGGTGAGGACCTACAACAAGATCTAGCGAACATTGAAAGAAGATACCAATGTTTTTGGGATGACCATACTGTTGGACTAATGCGTAAAACTGATCCCAAACAATACAAACTCTGTTTCACCCCTCTTCTTTATGATTTATAACTTTTAATTAAATACAATGGCCATTAATTGTCTGACTATCTTGAAAACTAGAACCGATCTTAAAAAATGGAGTGAAGATTCGGATTCGGCGCCCCAAATTACCTTAGATACAACTTTTGGTTGGGTTGGTATACTTGTGTAATTATTTGAGACTATTTGGAGGACTATTTGTTATTTTTGGTTTAAAATGAAATAATAAAGTTTCAAGTATCAAGTTTTAACAGTAGTCTTAATCTTTTTATATAGTATTTCAAAATATTTGCTCTGTTCAACGTAAACAAATGGTCCTTATAATAAAACAAGTTTTCACCAGTGGTGTGCAATCTGGACATTGTAATTAACAATTCTTTTATGTACGACTGTGACAAAGTCAAAGCTATGGAGCGCGCAATTCGTTAATTTTGGTTTAATTATGGCCACTTGAACCGTTTTCTCTAACTGATCAGTTAAATAAACTGACAAGTTAAAAGGTAACAGGAGATTAGTGTCCAACATCTTGCACCGCGGTGTTTTAACTATGGTTTAAAATTTAACTAGTGATTTAGGGAATTTGACTAAAAAATGGAAAAGATTGGTGCTAATAACTAACTTCACACCTATTTGTGACGCAAATATATTTTGACGTTAAGAGTTCGATTTTTTATAATCTGTCGTTCGATTCTTTATCATCTGTGGTTCGATTCTATTTCATGTACGACCGATTTAGTTGATGGCAAGAAAAGGGGGAGCTCCTCAAATTTTTCAAGTATATGTTAAATAAAACATCAAAAATATTATTCACATTAAATTTTATAAATTCGCAAAATAATATTGTATTAATTGATTTTGAAACATAATGCTATCTTGTGGAGCATTACTATGTAGTACAGCTGCAGCTGGAATAATGGACAAAACTGTATCTAGCCATATGCCAACACTGGAAACCTTCTTTTCCAAATTTCAAATACTCTTTCTATTATATTTCTGGTTCTTAGTATTGACTCATTATAGAGTTGCTGACCTCTATTCCTATAACTATAGTTATTGGATTTGCTAAAGATGTCAATAAATAATATCTTTGAAAAAAAAAATTTTGAATACCGATGACTTTTAGTACTTTTGAGGTTATAAATCGTTAACATTGGATTAAAGTAATTTAAACCACCGAAATTGGAGGTTTATTTTAACAGTAGTTTAGAGGTATTTAAACAAGGATTAATTTACGGTGCAAGCCATGAAAAATAAACCTGTGTTAAAAAATAAACCACTGTTAAACTGTGGTGCAAGTGGCCATTAGATACTCAAAGCTTCCAAAATTAAATTGAAACAACCTGTTTCTTGTAATTTTTAACACATTGCAAAGTTTTTAACAAATTTTATATTTTAGTCTAATGCCAAGCCTGCTGAAACATCTCCGAAAGATGCAGTTATAGGAGTCCTAGAAGTTCTAAAAAAAATAAGCGAAAAAAGCTTGGAATGCAAAGCCGAATACAAAATCTCCGACGAACTCTTCAACAAAATCCAAAATTCCGAAAAGGTCGATTCACCCGAAGCCAAACAGTACATGCACTGTTTCTTGTTGAAAATGGGCATCCAAAAGGCAAATGGTGAATTTGACGCCGAAGCAGTAAGCCAAATTATGAGATCGGGAAAGCCTTTGACCAAGGAAGAATTGAATTGCTTAAAACCAAAGGGTACACCAGAAGAGTCCGCTTATGAGTTTTATAAATGTTTTAATTAAACATACGTTAATTCGATAATAAAGTATTGAAAGCAACTTTGCATTATTTTATAAAAATTACGCTCATTATTTTTTTGTGAAAATAAAGTAATCAGTTCCCAAGTTTTACGTAACTTCTTCCAAAGTTATTGCAATAAGTACTAAATTTAAAAATTTGTAGCTAGATTCAGAGCTGGAAAAGTTACTTCTAAAAGGTATCTTTTCCAAGATACTTTAAACAAAATGAGTTAAAAGTATCTTTAGTTACAAGATACTTTAAAAAGTATCTAAGATACTATCTGAGAGTATCTAAGATACTATATAAAAGTATATTTTGAGTAACTAAGATGATTTTAAGTAACTAAGATACTTTTGAGTAACTAAGTTACTTTTAAGTTTGAATAAAAACTATAAAATTATAAAAATTCAACAAGTTGTAGGTTGGGTAATTACTTTGAATCATTCTGGAATTCCCCCAATTTTCTATAAGAAAGTATCTAGGTTACTTTAAAACGTATCTAAGTTACTTGAATGTATCTTAAGTTACTTTACCGAGTAACTTAGATATTTTTTAAGATACAAGTTACAAGAGTTACAAGATACTTTTTCAAAGTAACTAAAGATACTTTCTGTCCAATATAAAAAGTATCTAAGTTACTTTTAAGTTTGAATAAAAACTATAAAATTATAAAAATTCAACAAGTTGTAGGTTGGGTAATTACTTTGAATCATTCTGGAATTTCCCCAATTTTCTATAAGAAAGTATCTAAGTTACTTTAAAACGTATCTAAGTTACTTGAATGTATCTTAAGTTACTTTACCGAGTAACTTAGATATTTTTTAAGATACAAGTTACAAGAGTTACAAGATACTTTTTCAAAGTAACTAAGTTAAAGATACTTTCTGTCCAATATAAAAAGTATCTAAGATAAAGTATCTAAGTTACTTTTAAGTATCTTTTTTTTTTTAAGATACTCCTAGATTTATAAAAAAAAGTCCGTTGAAGAATACCGCGGTTTAAAAAAACGGATCCCCGTCCCTACGTTTTTATACAATTTTAATCATATAAATTTATTGAAAAAAAAGTCCGTGAGAAATTTCCTGTTATAAATTCCCCAGAACAAAAGAGTCCATCGCGGCCTACTTTGCATAATATGCATATTATGCATTATTTGCTAGAACAACTAGAGTGTCAACGTGTTATTTTTTGCAGGTTGTCATTGTTAAAGAGGGTGAATTATTTCAAGCCACCGGTTATAAAGTTTCTAGTTTTGCCGAGAGGTACTTTTTTAATTATTGCGTACGCGGTGGGTAGCTAAGTATGGAGATCACGTTACTTGATACCGACAGCAGGTAAATTTTTATTTAATGTGTTGATACTTATGCCCGGAAATAAATGAAAATGTTTTTATAAAGAATATTTAAATTTAATTTTTTTAAAACAAAATCTAAAAAGGCGATTACTTTACATAAATTTTATAAAAAAATATGTACTTTTATTATTTTTTATAATAAACAAACTTTTTCATGAAAATTTAAAAAAAAATTTGGATGCATTACCCATGTTAAGTATTTAGAAAAAATAATATAATAAACATTATAATAAAGTACTTAAGTCACATTTTTGAAACCCTTAGTAACTTTTTTAGATATATATTTAATACCCTTTAGCACATTTATATATATACAGTTCATTTTTTTTAACTGGACTCGTGTTTTTTTGTTAGGTTGGTGGCTTATGCCAGTTTGACTTAGTATTTTTAGTATTTAAAAATTTTACTTCTGCTAAAGAATTTAATTAAATACTTTGACAATGTCAAATTGACAATAATATTTATTATTGATAATTTACTTGTCAATTATAAATAAAAAGATAATTATGCCAAACATAATAGCAACGAATTCGAATGTAAAAGCCCTTTTGAGGGCAAAACTTCATTTTGATGAAATTATGCCAAATGCCACAATGGAAGAAAAGTACATCGCCTTATGGACATTTTTGGAGTAAAAAAGGAAACAATTTGGTTTTATAAATATTACATCACACATTATTTTCACATTATTCACCATTGGACAACATTTACGTTCACAAAAAATTTTAATTTCTTTTATATAAATTCTTTTCAAAACGAAGATTATTATCCGCTAGGAATACTTTCTCTTCTGGGCCGTAAAGCAACCTATATTTTACTACTTTTTTATATGATTTTACTCATCCAAGCACCATCAAAGCCAAATTAATTGCATTTTTAACTACGAATTTCGACAACTGCACAATGTAACCTACAATAATTTATACATAACCACAATTAGATTTATAACTAGCTTAGTTTGTTTTAATCAATGTGACCAACTTGACAACTGTATTTACCTACCAAAACCCTATATTTGCAACGTTGCCGCAGTCCAGATAAAATAAACGAACTCAAGCGATGCTGTCAATTTCTTTTCACACAGAAATGTCACTTTACATTCGTGTTTTGCCTTGCCAATAAAAATATTCATTTTATAAGCAACGATGCCAATACAAAATGTGACTTTTACATAGTGGTCGTAGAAAAAAATATTTACTTGTTTATTTTTTATAACAAACAAACTTTTTCATGAAAAGTAAAAAAAAATTGGAAGCATTACCCAAGTATTTAGAAAAAATAATATAATAAAAATAATAATAAAGTACTTATAAGGACATAAGTCACATTTTTGAAACCCTTAGTAACTTTTTTAGTTAGGTATATATTTAATATATTAGGGTATAACCTTTAGCACATAATATAAAAACTATTTTTATAAATAACTTTTTTTTGTAAAAAAATTGATATAAAATTTCCATTAAAAATATTTTCAACTCAATGCACTATGTTAACCGTAAAATAAAAGCATATACGATTTAAACGAAAAATTAAATGTTTGGTTTCTTGCCTGGATATTCTCCGTAAACTGTAATTAAATCAAACAATTAATCTCCATGTGTAGAAAGTTAAGTACAATAGGCGAACGTGAGAAGAAACAGTGGAAGAAAACCAGTTGCAGTTTTTTTATTAACTGCATACCTCGTCCGTCCCTTGGACCCTTTTATTTTACGCCAATCTTCTATTATTTTTGCCCAACTGATTTGCATATTGTGCAATGTTAATTTCAATTCAACACGAAACCCGTTTTGTTTTTTGTCGGAGCTTCACCGTAAGTGTATACATTTTTATTTTATTTCGGTTTTTGTTTCGGCACCCCATTCACGGAACATCTTTCATTAAGGGATGAATACCGATGTTAAACAATGCAACTTGCGATAGGGTTGCAAGTCTGAAGCTGATCTAGTGGGAAATTTTACTATTCTTTCCTCCTTCCTTCTTTACTTTCGACTGACACAATAATTCACGCTCCATTGTTCTTTTGCGAACCCGTAAATTTTCAAACCAACAACCCCTTCTAATATTTATTAATTTATTACAACCTGTACATTCTATAACTATAGGTAATAACTGATGCAATTTATATTCATATTAACCCGTAGAGTTTGCTTATTTTACTTTTAATTTTATTTCTTTGACCACAGTATAATTATTATTTTAAAAGTTTTTTTTTGTTTTTTTCGATGGTAAAAATATTAAAATAACTAATAATATCCTGACATACATAAATACATTTATTATTATTATTATTTATTTATTTATATCCACAGGGGCGCAGGGCCAAATTACAGGAATAAGTTTTATACATTGTATTTATTTTAATCCCAAATCTCAAATATCCGTATTTATCTCTATTCAAAATCTACATCCCAATCTTATAATTATCAACATTTCACGTTTTCATAATCATTTATTACCTTTTAAATCAATAATTTAAATTATTTAAATCCATTTAGGAAAAATTTAGTTTTTAACTTTTCCAAAAGTGTGTTTGTTTTCCTTTTTAGGCAGCAACGGAGCAACGGATCGACGTGATTTTTGCATAGAGCAGGACAGTACAGTCTACTTTTTTTGTTGCTTTTTATAGTTTTTTTTCTTTTTTAATTCCCGCAATCTTTGATTTTTGTTTTTTTAGAGTTTGCAAAATGACAGAACTTAAATTCTGACATATATGTACAGGGTGTTTTATTATAAATAGGATACCCTATTAAATCTTTATTGGAAGAGATATCGAAAAAAATTAAAATACAGCTTGTATGGTTTAAAAAAGTAATTTTCTTTCACAAAAATTTAAAAACAAAAAAGCATCGGTAAATTTAATAAAATAAAAAAAACAACGTCAATACTGTTTTTTCCATGAAACACCCTGCAGGGTGTATACATGTATATTTTTGAATATTTATATAGTTTTTTCTTCTGATTTCAAAAATATATAGTTTTTATAAATTTGTGCTAAATTTATGCTAAATTTAATGCGAAAATCATGTTTGCCATCGATAATGAACTTTTACTCTAAAATAAGCATAGCGTTTAGAACAATTATAATTATTAGCGTTTTGTTAAAAATGAATAGTAAAAACGTGGTTATTTTACGAGGTGAGTTCTTTATCCCTTTAGCCAGGTTTTTGGATCAATTATTAATAAAATGTTTAATTTAAACATATACAAATTACATATTTATAAAATTAGAAAAAAACGATGCTTTTTTGTTTTTAATAGGGCTGTACAATTTAGCCGGTTAAGCCGGCTAAAAATGTTAGCTAAGTTAATTAGCTAGCTAACTGATCAGCTTAGCTAATTTAACCTGTTAACTAAATTAGCTTAGCTAATTAGCTGGCGGCTTAACCGGTTAATCTAGCTTAGCTCGGCTAATTAGCTAACGGCTAAACGGCTAATTTTTGTATGCTATTTAATGATTTAATTAATTTAAAAGCCATTATTATAAATAAAAATAAAATGTAAAATATTATTTAACCTAATAAATTACTCTATTATTGTTTGACGTAAAGGCACTATCAATACTTTTTTTTAACCTGTCTGTAAATAAGAAATCATTATATAGCTTAAAAAAAATTAACCGTTAGCTAATTAGCTGAGCTAAGCTAAATTAACCGGTTAAGCCGCCAGCTAATTAGCTAAGCTAATT